AAATATACTATAAATAGTAAAATTACTATAAACAATCGTAAAAGTTAACTTTTATCCAGCCTCATCGTACTGCGCATGAGCAAATATATATTTCTTATTTTATTTTATTTGACTGTATGAACGCACACAAATAAGAATTCCTTATTTCTTATTTTATTTTATTTTATTTGGCTGTATGAAGCCACCATCAGAGTGCATCCGCACCATCCTAGAATAAGCGGAACGGCGTAACGACCTTGAATCGAATTCCAGAAATTCTATTGGCTGAAATTTTTGACAGATGAATTTTTCAGCCAATAGAATTAGTCGAAATCTATTCAAGACGCCGCCGCGCCGATACGCCGATCCACTTTTTCTAGGATGGTATGGATGCATCCTAAGAAGAACGACAATTTTTATTGAAATTTTGTGAGCATATATATGTTAATTTAGAGCATTTTTTAAAAATATAGATCTACAGGGTGTCCCCAAAAAAAATCACACATCAAAGTTGTGTTTCTTGTAATGGAACACACGGTATATTAAATAATTGATTTTCGTATTCTGGGAAAAAATAAAGGTGAGTTTCATAAGAGAAACATATGATTAAAATGTAAGGTTTTGACATATTTAGCATTTTTTAAAAATCAAGAACAAACTTTAAACATCAATAAAAGCTATCTAAATTGAAATTTCTAGTGATGGGATAACTCGAGCGATTCTCGATTAATCGCTCTCGAATTCGCTCGAGTACTCGAGTACTACGATTATTGAAATAACCGACATCGCTCGATTATGAACGAGCGATGCAACTGACGAGTACCAAGCGACAAACGCAAGCGATCCTAGAATGAAATAAATTGAAATCCGATTTTAATGTGACATACTTGATAAAAAACCGAACGAATTTTCTACATACATTGCAGGTAACAAATTTATACGACGCCGTATATATTTATCCGTTGCGTATCTAAGGGACAAAATTTTACGACCTACATCGACAATGCTTTGAAATAAACTAAATCAAGAATCAAGCGAATCGCTCGCCGCTTGCTACTTGCCATTCTTCCTACCATTCTTACAACAAGCGACGGGTGAAAAACCGTATTTTTAAATACGAGTGATATTTCGCTCGAGCGATCACTCGGTTACTGCAATCGCTTGAAACTCGAGTACTCGATTATTGAAATTAGTCGGTTTTTGCCATCACTAAAATTTACCCAGTATAGCCTAATTATTTAAAATAAATATTATACTATAAATCAAATGAAAACTTGGTCTGAAAACTTGTACAGTGTGAGACAAAATTAATATTAAACATTAGTCACTTTTAGCAAGCAGCAAGTTACAATATTTTAAATGGAACACCCAGTATATTATTCTGATATTTAATAGGGATTTCATGTCTCTTCAAAAGACTATTAAGGTTGCCTACCAGTCAAACAAAGATTTTCCTAGATATTTTTAATTTTATGATTTAATGTCGGTAGACCTTTTTTATTTCATAAAATCTAGGTGGCTGTAAACGCTTCCGCGTCGTATAAAAGGCGCCATCCTGTATATTTTTTTTATTAAATAATACTTACGGCAGTCTTCATCAGTATCTGTAATTTCATTTTCCTCAGAATTTGAATCAGTCTGATCTGAATCCACCAAAACTGTATTAGATTCCCCTAACTTATTCATTTTAATATCATCCTCTGGCAATTCATCGTCTATCGTTATACTATCCTCCATTTTTTGTAATTCCTCTATTAGAGTATTTTCAGGAAGAACCTCAGTCGATTTTAATTTCTCTAAACTGTTTGAATTTTGAACTGATATCACGTTTTTCTTTACCGGAACCTCACCAGATTGTAGATTACTTAATTTTATATGCTTATCAAACACTTTACCGCTATAAGGAACCATTTTCAGGCCCTTAGAATGTAACATTTGCAATTGAGAGAACGGAATCACTTTTTTAGTGGTATTTCCTTTAAAAGTAACGAGTTTCGGAGATAGGTTTTGAGTATTTGCTAGTTGTAGATTCGAGGGGAACTGACTGTTACCTACTATCTTAAATTTATCTAAATTTAATTTAGTTAATTTGTTCATTGGAACTGACAAAGTCTTTTGTAATATACTATTTGTAGTTATAGTTGAAGCGTTTGAAACAACTATCAACTTTTTGCCTTTGTTTATAGTTTTGTTAGTGTTCATTTTAGGTACAGGATCGGAAGTGTCATCACTAGAAGACTGTTTTAGAAACGTCACATTATTAACACTTTTCGGATTGGGTAAATGATTTTCACTAACTACTTCCTTAGTAATATTCGTCTCTGTAGATTTCTCAGACATCATCGGCGGTATAGAAACATTTTGTATAATATTAATTTTCTGAGAATTTACAGTAGTTGGAGCTGTCACAGTTTGAACTCTATTATGCACAGAATTAGGATTTAAACTAGCTTTTATCAAATCTTTACTCTCTGTTTCATCCAAATCTTTGTGTTTATGCTTTGAGATCTTTGAAGCTTGACTAAAAATAATAAACAAATATACATTATACAGGGTCCTACAAAAGTGCATCTGTATCTCCTATAATAAAAAATGTATGAATTTTATTTAAGTGCAAACCTATTGTACATACATACTTGGATAATGTGTGTACATATTCAGGAAAATATCTTAACTTCTACAGGGTGGCTCAAAAGTGTGAGTGGAATTGGATGTTTTTTTTTTGTTTAAATGGTATAATACCCTGTATATTATTGCATTTTTGGCTTTTTTTCCGATCACTTTACAAAGCCCTAAGATGTTATTAAATTAGTTTTGATAGTTTTAGAGATATTAATAAATAAATAAAATAAATTTTTCAGACTTTCTTTAAAAAAATTACTAAAAATACAATAAATACCCTGAAATCAAAATTTACTTTGCTATAAATATAGTAAATACAGTGTTTTCAAAATTTCACGCCAAACTGTAAAAAATAAAATAATTTTTCTATGTTTATATATATTTATTTTTTTTTTTTTATAATACACCCTGTGTATTATTCTTTTGTTAGGTAGAGAATAAAAAAATTAACTTTTTTTGTATTTAAAGTATTTAAATTTTTTTAACGGTTTTGCAGATATTCGCGGTATTATATTACATCTAGCTTTTTCAACAGTAAATTTTTATCAACGAGCCATATACCGTATGTTCGAATAAAAAACGGCGTCCAGTTGGCTTGGAAATAACGATCGTTGACATTCCCCATATACTTTAGATATAAAATTACGATGGCGATCTTGATCTTAAATGACATATAAAATGGCGATCTTCATTTCACAGCCATCGTACAGTATAATAATACAGCAAATTAAAGGCTAAAAAATATTATTTTTTCATTTATTTATTTATATCTCTGGAATTATTAGAACAAATTTAATAATATATTAGGACAATGTAAAATGATTAAGAAGGAAGCCAAAAATACATTAATATACAGGGTGTTCCATTTAAAAAAAACATCCAAATCCACTCACACTTTTTTGGGCCACCCTGTAAAAGTTAAAATATTTTCCTGAAATAGGCCTTAGTTCATATTTAAGTATACACTTAAACAAAGTTCCTAAGTTCCTTCTTTTTTATAGGATCTACAGACCCCAGATGCATTGTTTCATGAACTTAATTGAAAACTCAGAATAACTCACTCACCGATAAATTTGTTGTATTCTACTTATTTTATTACCCAGTAAATGCTGAGCAAGACTACTGTTTTCACCAGCATAACTTTTACGTTTCTTAAAATCTTCTTTAGGAACTTCTGGAACTCTAAATGTCTGTGTTTTTCCAGCTACATCATTGGTTGAAACTGAGGGAGCGGGTGATGTAGCTGGTCTTTTACGCTCTGTATTAGCTGGCAATGGAAGTTGGCTGTTGTACTGTACAGCTGTATCGGAAGCCTCATCAGCTATTATTGAGTAAGGTGTTTGAGGAGGTACCTCGGCAATAATGGTACAAGTCTTCGACCTTCTAATGCCCAATCTTCCAAAGAACTCAATTGCCCAGTAACACTAATATAAATTAAAGTGTTGGAAGTAGATCTGAATTAGAAAGTATGTCATAATACTTTGCGATATGCGATAGTGTTTAATCTTTCATCACTAATAGCCCTACGCACTTCAGCTTTATGTCTTTCATTTGAAATGTTTAATAGAATACTTGTTTCCTTCAGTAAATTCCTTTTTTCTTGATTTAGAGTTCCTTGAGCTCTTAAAGCAGATACTAACGATGAATAAGCTTCTAACTCTAGAAATAAAAATAGTATTTATATATACATTAATACACAATGAGTCTAACAAAGAATTTATATCAATACACAAATTTAGTATGTGTCCTTGGTTGTTACCAAATTTCTACTCTAAAATTAAACGATGTAATTAAATAATATGTACGCTACAAATGCGCAACTTTCTAGCAGAACTAAACATACATTTCATAAAGAAAAATGCTCACCTAGATGCCTTAAACTTTCTACAGATTCGTCCTCTGTCATGTCTAACAATGTCGGCCACATTTTCTAAACAATAACGCTTATATTTTAAGCGTCCACTATCAATTCATTAAAATTACTATAAATTATTTGAGAACTAGACAAATTACTACTTTATGCAGTTCATTTTATTTCAAACCATAAACATCTAAAAAAGATTAGGTTAGAAACAAATCTAGTTGACAATCTGTCAAGTGTTTGGTGCCAATTTTAAAATTTTGAAAAATTCGCAAGGGTCTTCTTTTAGATAATTGTAAAATATTTTAATAGGATATTTGATAAAAACATATTAAATTCTCTAAAGTAAAGGTAATTAATTAAAATATTCCTTAAAATGCAAATTAAAGGCCAAATCATATATAAATCATTAATAAAATCTGTAGTTCTTTCTTCTTATTTTGTTTTAAGGTCTCACTTGCCAGGACTATTCGGCAAATAATCCGTGGGTGGGTGGGTCATTGTAGCAACATAAAATCTTCACTGATCTATGGTTTTCTGCGTCGTTTGGCTAGATTTTTTTTCGAGGAAGAATTTTAAACTAAAAACGTCAAAATATTTTGACGTCTCGAACAGTTTCTAAAAAATATCAAATTAAAAAATGGCAGCGGAAATCAAACCGGCTACACAAACTAACGATAGATTTTGTACAACGAAAAAGCCCGTCCTTCTGGCCAAACTAGATGGGTGCAGCGATGAAATAACGCAGCAGTAATTATTCCAGGAGAAGACGGTGTTATCAGTGTCTCGGATGATAAGTGAGTCAAGCTTCTTACTTGTTTTGTTTGTTATCCAAATTCTTATTTCCTCCCGTTTCATTTTATCGTTAACTGCTTTTATTTGTCTTTTATTTAATCTTTGTATACTGTTTTGGGGATCTAAACAGTTCAATTTGTTTTAATTACTTGGTATTTGGATGTTTATACAATACAGTTCTAAATATTTATAGAAATCACAGTGTAGTGTAAAGTAAAAATATAAATTTCTGTATTTTAAAAGGATATTTCGCTTTCTTAATATATCACAAAGGCGTTACAAGTAAGTTGTTATTAATAAGCATCTAAAAAGAAATTAATTATATTTTTAGCACTGTGAGAGAGAGTATGGAATTCTAAATATTTATTGAAATCACATCATAAATAAACTATTAATATTTCTGTATTTTAAAAGAATATTTCACTCCATTAATATACCACAAACTATCTAAAGAAATTAATTATATTTTTAGGACTGTAATTAGTCTGTACTATCTACTATCAGACTTCATAATATTTATTGAAATTACAACATAGTATAAAAGTAACACTGTAATTTCTATTATTTAAATGGATATTCCACTCCATTAGTATATCACAAAGATGTCACTAGCATATATTTGTCATTAATATGTATTTTAAAGAATTTAATTATATTTTAGGACTGTGAGGGTATGGCTAAAAAGAGATTCAGGTCAATACTGGCCGAGTATATGCCAGTACATGCCAAGCGGTACCACTTCTGTCTATTACACTGTGGAAACAAGACAACTCTTTATAGGACAAGAAAATGGAACTGTATCAGAATTTTCTCTTGCGTCTGATTTTAATAGAATGATGCCAGTAAGGGAGTACCTAGCTCATCAGGCCAGAGTCACCGATATTATATTTTCAATTAATTGTGAATGGGTACTCAGTGTTGGGAGAGATAAAGTATTTTCATATAATTGTACTCAAACAGGTCGAAATATTGGGACATACAATGCTGAAGCTTGGTGTACAGCTTTACAGTATCCTTCTTTGATATCGATAATTATAAATTATAAAAATAAAATAAAATATTTTAAACATAAATAAATTATTATATTTAAAATATTTTTAAAATGTAGAACAAAAAATGATTATACGCATAGGGTGCATTTTGCACCTAAGTGTATTTAAAAAATTGTTAAATTCTTATAAATATTTAAAGTGTGTTTTAATATTTGATATCTATTTGTATTTTATTAATTAATATTATTAATAATTAATGCATTGAGAAATTCCTTAACTTAATCATAGATTCGATGCACAGTCAAAACACGCTTTCATAGGCGATTACTCAGGTCAAATAACTATGCTTAAGGTAGATAATAATGGACCCACTGTCATAACCACCCTAAAAGGTCACTCTGGTTCGATCCGGTCACTTTCTTGGGATGTTGCCAGGCAGATGCTGTTTAGCGGTTCCTTTGATCACACTGTTATTGTTTGGGATATTGGAGGCCAACAGGGGAACGCTTATGAGCTACAAGGTCATCATAATAAAGTAAGACTTAAAAATGGAATTACTGTGCTGTATTTTCTTGGTGCTAATTTTAACTGCTAATTAATTAAATATTGTAGGTGTCGGCTTTGCATTATTCAGACTCTACCAAACAATTAATCAGTGCTGGAGAGGATGGTGTTATTGTTTTTTGGGATATGAACCAGCCTAGACAAGAAACGCCGGATTGGAAGGAGTCAGATGTGTGTCAGCTTTGTGGAAGGCCCTTTTTTTGGAATTTGAGGTTAGTACTGGTTAAAAGCGAAAAAAATTAATTGATTTTCTTTGGAAAAAGCAAGATTTTTTTTATTTTTTCATATACTTATTTTACTGTTTTTATTGTTTCTTCCCTGTATAACAGGGACCTGCAACAGGGCGTCTGTATATAAGTCCTATAAAAAAGAAATTTTCTGTAAGTGCATTTCAAAAGTATATACTCGGTCTATTGTCTATTTCAGGAAAAAATAGTTTCTAACTGCTACAGGGGTCCAAAAAAGTATGAGCGTATAAGGAAT